GCATTCACTACTACCGAGAGTCCAAACATACCTCAATATATCTTGTGGTCCGAGAATTTGAATATATTTTGAACACTTTCTAAAAGATTACGGCGGCATATCATAATCTATTACCACATTTCAACGCATGGATGTTGTAAGAGGTGACTATTGTACAAAGTAGAAACAACTCATTCCAATAGATGGTGATATAACCATCTTGTTTACGTCACACGTTGAATACCCAGAAAAGGATGTCAGAAATGCTATATCAAACAAAAAAATCCAGTTGTGGCACTTTTACCGTTTCATTTTATAACAAAATACGCCAAAAATTCATGTCCATCTTGGGAATACAATGCACACATCCTTAAAGCAGCAAACATACTTTAAACATGTGCATTGGCTTAATGTTAGTTGGAGCCTAACTGTATATTTTTAACGCTTATTATTCTGTTTTAAAGGATTATTCTTAAAGAAATTCTTGGAGGAGTAATTTATTAAGTCTTCTTTTAGGAGTAATTACATGCATTATATAACGTACTATTGTTTGTTATTTTCTATATACTTAATTATTCGATAAATAATCGTACTGGATGGAGGCTTTTGGGTTTTAGTTTTCCGTTTTTGTTAGTTGTCAGTTGTAGATACGCATTAGTGAATACGACTAGAGACGTGACTATGTTATCTAGGTTACTGATTAAATAATGCTGCAATAAATAAAAAGAGATTTAATTGGAAATTGACTATTTAACATAGTTTTTAAATTTACAATTGAATACAAATATAAACTACAAACTGAAATTGTCTAATTTTAAAACTAAACGGACCTCTATTATATTTTTATCGACTTTATCACTTTTACGAAAACAATAGAAAGGGCGTGATGATTATAGAATTCATGACACATTATACGGTCAACGTGATGAAATTTAACCGATCTCTACCTTAACAGACACAGACAGACAGACAGACATACAAAGAACGACCTAAATCAGTGAGCCTAGAGATTTGAAGTTACCGTGTGGGCCACAGCTAGTATACGTAAATTAAACGTTTAACAAGTGAGTGATATTGACGCGAACACCTAAAACCAATATACAACTTTAACCCAAGAATATGGTCAAGATTGCATATTGGTTTTAGGTCTTCGTGGTCTTTGTATGGGCAGAAAATTACTGCAGGGACGTTGGGGTGAGTCATTTTGACCTGACTTTTAATATAAAATATATAAATACTTCTTTAAGAAATAAATAGTATTTTAATATGTATTTAACATTATTAGGTCATAATTAAGGAAAAAAATCAGACTTTAAAAAAAGTCAAATACAAAAAACTAAATAGATTAAAATAATTTTCTTATAAATAGCTTCAAAAGTCGGTGCCAAGACATGGAGTATAGAATAATAGCTTCAAAATTTGGTACCAAGACATAGAGTATAGAAGTATTAAGCTCTTTCTTTATAAGTTTATTTTTGATCTTTAAATGGACAACAAAAAAATCTCGAATGTCATCTAAGTAGTTGCATTGAAAATCTTGTCCCCTTTTTTCACCCTTAGAAGTAAGGAAAAGTTTCTCCAAACTCTACGGGACTTCCCCCTGAAGCCATATTAAATATATATATATATATATATATATATATATATATATATATATATATATATATATATATATATATAACCTATTTACTAAAAAAAGAATTGTTAAAATGGGTAACATAAATTTAAAAAAAAACATGCATCAAATCGAGATACTCCTCCGTTTATAAAACAGCTAATAAAAAACTGTGTGTTGTACATATTAGTTTTCTTTTGTAGAACAATAGTGACAAACGAGCACAGAGTCCATCTTATGATAAGAGATAAGATAATAAGTGGTTGCTATGACCTATATACATCTACATCTATCCTCGTATTCGAATAAGAATCACAATACAGATGTGTTGTCACTCCTGAGGACTAAGGTGGAATGCGTCGTTGCGCGTGAAACACGAGCGCTCTAAAAGAGAAGTATAAATCCGAGTTTATCGAAATGTTTCGAACAAAGCCTTAGGTATTTCTTGTTTTTCTTATTTTTTCATTCTTATTTGGCCCTTGACTATTTATTGGGCTCTTGGGTAGACAGCGTTTCACTCACATTTTATTTCTGGGCATTTTGATAATCTAAAACAAAATTGTGACAATATGAAAACCGTAACTAAAGTATTATCGGAAAAGCTAAATAAGTTTGTGTAGTAATTATTGCATTCAGTTTTAAAACAATTAATGATTTTAAACTTAATTTTACCATTATCACATCACACACGTGTTAAATAAAAATTCTGGATCTTCTACTTCTCGGCATATTTTTACTTCTTCCATTCAGCTTAGCAATGAAATTTCTTATGATTGCGTAATAGTTTTTATAAACTTTACGGCAATGTTCCGATCGACTAGTCAGTTATGAACTAACACGATTTACACAAACAGTATGGTAGTTTCGATCTTAAAAAATATCTCTTTTACTACGAGTAAATGCTATCCTCCGTGGAATAGACAAAGATACATGATCACAGGTCAGATACACAGGTATAAGAGTAGCACCGTCTTATAACTCCATCCAGTATGAGTATGATATTTTATCTAAGATGTAATTACTCTAAGTTGTTTTCAATGTAGTATTTTATTAATGTCTCTCTGACTAGTATACAATTCGTAGACAAAGAAACCTATAGACAAATTGACGCCTTCTTTCGCATTCGCACACGAAAAAGATAGATTTATGCATACGTCTTGCATAGAAATGTGACAGAGCAATGTGATTGTTTGTCCCTTTCTCCGTGCCGGTTTTTTATTTAGCAAACTACACTTTGCTAAACAACTTTGACAGTTCATAGCGATCTAAGGAGTTTACAAGTTGATTTAAGTAAGAAAAAAGTGTTTTGTGAGCTTAGGATTGGTGAAACTTGTTCAGTTCAGTTCTTAGAACAATTAAATTTTTTATCTAAATATGTTTAAAAGTCATAAAGATTATTGTATAACCTAAAACTACGTTATCGTCCTTTCTCACTCGAGGCCACGCTAATCATAAGTCTATAGGTTTTTCTGTCTACGATAAAATTATATTCAGTTATCTGGTTATCTATGCTGTATGTCATAAACTGACAGCAATACTTCAAAAGTTAGAAAAATGAAAAAAATACAAAAAATATGATAAACAATGCTTGTTGTAAGGGATGCTGTGATTCAAAATGGAAAATATTTATTAACAGACTTAAAATTCCAGGATTCTTCTTAAGTTTGATATTAATAATATTAATATTGTCATATCGTCTGTATCGATGTTATCATCCGAGAAGGAGGCTTCTTAACTGGTGAAATGAATTAGTAACACAAGTGAAATTGCTTCCCTTTACTCTTTATTACTAGGTATAAATTCACATATCGTACTCATTAAAATCAACATTATACCTCTCTTAACATAAGTAACAAACATTTACTTGAAATAAGATGTCACATAACACACAGCACAATCCAATGAGATACAGTTTTTTATTCAATGGTATTTAATTGAAATGCGGCAGTAATTCGGCTGACATTGTAATTCATCTTATTACGTAGTATGTGTCTATAGGACACGGCATCCGGGTGCGATCAGGTGGACTGTGCCCTTGTTTCTCACGTCTTTTCTATAAGACAAAAAACATTATTTTATTTAAATTATAAGGAATCATTGGGTAAAGCCTTAACTTGTTATTTTATTTTTGGAAATTCAATAAATATAATTTTTATAAATCGTTTTCATGTAATAATCTAGAAGAATAAATAATAATATGTGATATCAGAATCTTAGATTCATTTTACACAATGCTACATAGCGTGCTAAAATCACAACCGGCTTTTTGGATTTGCCGTTAATGGATACAAGTATTTGCTCTTTTAAATATTCCAAAATAATTAACAGTCTTGCTTAAATTTGGCACCAGCATCGCTGTTACATGGCCTATTGTATCTTTCTGAAACTTCCGTAACCGTAACTTATATAGAATTCGAATGGAATATTTTATTTATGGACTATAGAAGTTAATAACTGAAATAAAGCGTTATATTTAAGGATAATACTAACAACTTTAACAGTGATAAGAATTGCGAAAATTGTATATATATTCGATCGATTTGGTATTTTCTGAAATGTGTTTCAGTAAGTAAATAGTATTCAAACGTCCTCTATCTCTTTATTAGAATCAGACTTAATAAGGAAAATACTTTATTTCAGTATCTTCCCGGTAACCCAGGTGATAAGTAAAAAAATATAGAGCTAAAACAGGCTACGTATTCTAACCGGCATTATTCAAAACTTTCTTTTCGCTTATCACTAATTATTAGTAAAATTTGATTATTATTAACTTATTTATTTTCCTGTAGCGCGTCTATTTGTAAATCAAGATGCTGTTTGCGGTCTACATATATTGAGCAATAGTTAAATGTAAAAAATCTTGCGCTTACTTTATTGTATACATCAAATAGAACAAAAATATTACTCTGATATCAATATCAATGACAATAAACGTGTACTGATTAATCTACATTGAAGAATAATGAAAGGAAAATTATGTATAAAGCTCGAACCTCTAGGTAGAGTAATACTGCTCTGTGGCCTGAAATTCATTTGATCCATAGCAATAAAAATCCTTATTTTCGATACAACATTGACCGTCAACCCTAATGTTCCCACAAATTTTTATTTTGTGTCATTATGAATTACACTATTATATCTCTTACATATTTTTATTATATAGATTTTAGTTACATTTAAATACAATTATTATGGAATATTAGAACTTAAAATCGTTACAATATTACATAATTAATAGTTCTAAAATTCTAATTTGATTGTCATCAAACAATACTCTATTAAAATATGTGAGCTCAAAATGTAATTAATATTTGGTAAACAAATGTAGACGCTACCCACGTTTTAACAATCGTATTTATAAAATGTAACTGGATTCATCTACTTGTATATCACACTTTGACTAACATCATCTTAAATCTTCTTTCAGATTATTTTTGAAATAAGCATCTTTGGCAACTTGGTACAATATGTGACTGCTCTTCTCACCGGTTTCGCGTACCATACTGGACAAACTGCTGTTGGGATCTGAGAGCAGTTTGTAGGGGTGATCATATTCCGCGATAACACCACCACTCATTACGAGGACACGATCAGAGTCCATAACAGTGTTCAAACGATGTGCTATCGTCAGGACAGTGCACGATGCAAATTGACGTCGTATTGTTTGTTGAATGAAATTATCCGTCCTAAAAAGAAAACAGAACATAAACAAGAACTCTTGTAGAAAAATTCCAAAGCTGTTTACAATACATACTGTGGGTCAACATTTGCTGTAGCCTCGTCCATTATTAATATTTTATTGGACCGAAGCACAGCGCGCGCTAAGCACATGAGCTGTCTTTGACCAACAGAAAAGTTGGAGCCACCTTCAGTCACCTTGAAGTCTAAAGAGGGAACAGCCGCTTTCATGTCTACCTATAAATAAATTAATAAAAATATAATTGTTTTTATCTGTGATCATTTTCATAATAGTTACAGTACATATTTGTCTTAATCAACCAATATCTCACCTGCTCGAGAGCTCTCCAGATATCGTCGTCACTGTATATGTTGAATGGGTCAAGATTGTATCTTATTGTTGCTGAAAATAGTACGGGCTCTTGCGGAATGATAGAAATTTTTGAACGTAAGCCCTGGAATTAAATATGATTATTACTGTTATTAATATTTAACTATTTACTCTCAAATGCTCATAAAATCTCAAATAATTATATCTGCGCGTTTATAAAATAACGGTTCGATCAAAAATGAGCGAGAGGCTGCGTCACTCTAGGGAGCTTCATATTGGTGGTGGCAAGGTGGAATTGAGGGTACATCGAGAAGGAACCCCCCCCCCCCCCCACACTCGGTTGTGTGGTATAAAGTTCACTGTAGGTCTGTAGGTGTCATGCGAGATATTCTGCGTAAGTCATTCTACGATTGTATACGACGACTACGAAGTCATGCTAAGAGTGCCTAGACTCGGAGAATGAGAGTATCGGGGTTCTGTTCATTGTAGCAAATCTTCTAGTGCAGGCGTGGAAGGTGTTGCTGAGAGGCTGCAGTGTTATAACAAGATGAGTAGTATTGCTGTTGGCTTGCATACCTTAATGTTATTGTATAAGTATGTCCCTCACATAACACCACTGTGTAATTGTGACGGGAACATATTACGGTATCGTCGTACTGTAATTGCGCTATACTAAATGTATAGTGCAGTACGCTGTTTTATTGCTGATAAGAATTCATTGCGTAAGCAGGAGGGGAAGTTTAATATCCGCTCTTACAGTATAATTATTTTTAACAATTAACCTACAGCCGTATTTCTGACATATTCAACAAGTATTTTAGTCTATATGTCATATATATATATATATATATATATATATATATATATATATATATATATATCCGTTAGTACATCATATTTATAGAACAGTGGTTAATGAGCACATAGTCCGTCTTCAGATTTCCAGAGCCCTACATCGAGATTAGATCGCAAAACTCCTATTGACAAATTGCCAAGAAAGAAAAAAATGTTTTTTACTACTAGATGTTGGTCTAACTTAATTTAGTCTACTTAATTACATCATTTGGAGATGAAATAGATGTCAATTAACTTCATACATTTTTGATAAAATAAATACCAATGGCAAAGAATAATCTAAATAAGAATACCCTTATATTCTAAATAGCAAAGTAGAATTTATGGAATGAAATCACTATAGCTTATAATTTTCTTCCGATATCGAATTGTTCTATTTTAACAAAAAAAGTTAAACACTGGCTATAAATATTTGTTTATTACGGATTAAATAATTTAGTGAAAACAATTGATAGTTTTTTAACAGTCTTCAGTTTTAAATGTTAGGTACATGGACGTAACTAAGTGGTTTTCTTAAAGGGTACAGTTTCCTACGGTCCACCACAAAGTTTCAATTTCAATTATCTGAAGACCAACTAAGTTAGTTGTACAATTGACAAAATTTTGATATAACCAAACAAATGATTGAGCGATATTGAGATGTATTAAGTGATAACAAGATATATTAAGAGATTTTGAGAGTTATAGATAGTTATTCACTCTCATAGTCCCATCTCATCAATTCAATTTAAAAAAAAACATTTGGTTGACCATGTGATCCAGATTGCTTATATAATTATTATAAGTGATACGAGAAGCTCTTTTATAACTCGTTTTGATATATTTTGATGAGTTTGTAAAAAAAGTAATTTATTATCTGTAGCAATTCACTTCTGGCAGCCTGCTTGGTTGTAAATGTGTAGGTTCTGAGTATAGACAGGCACACAGTACCTGTAGGGCTAGATGCTGGCGAAATTTACAAGATTCTGGCAGTAGAGATGCTAGCGCATTCTTATTGGGCATGCCTATTTTTGCAGCCGAATCAAGACCATTTTAATTTTGGTACCGTTTTATTCTTAAGTGTCGTTGCAAACAATTAATTACACTAAACTTCGTCTGCTTATAGGCTTTGTAGTATGTGCAAATGCCGATACGATGACGATATGGATGATTCTTAATCGAGTATAGATGAAGATGGCTATAAGCCATGGTATCTATTTATAATCAGGCGGACTATGTTACTCGTTTGTCACTCATATCCTTAAAAAACTCCATTTAAAGAAATGACTCCTCATAATTACCTGCTTAGAGACCATAGCAGTATCAATTCCATCAATAGTTATCTTTCCGTCTATGTGTGCAAATCTGAACAACGCTGATATTAAGGATGACTTGCCGGCGCCGGTTCTACCCACGATGCCCACCTATAATATCAAAAAGGTGTTAATATTAAACTTCTTGTCTGGGTTTGTCTTTTTTTTTTGCCTTGTCTTGACATGAAAAAGGAATGGAATAGAACTAATTTTACGGATTTTATCGCATTCAATTTTAGTTTTTTTTTTTTTTCATCTCGACATTTTAGACAGTTTACAGCACCCACGGTCACAGAGAAAAAAATTAAAAATTAAAAAGGTTCAAAAAATAAATTTAAAAATTTTAAATTAAACCCGACAAAATTCGTAAAATTAGTTTTATCCCATGTGAAGTATTCGCGTAAATATATGAAATCAGTATGAAGGAGAAATTGTAAATAAGAGTACGTCAACACGTTTTCAGGTATCCAAAATCTATCTCACGAATCCGCGTTATAAGCCAACTGCGGCGAAATGTCAAAAGAGACAAAGTATCATGCGGAATTTGTACTGTATTCTTCTTATCAAAGTCCATGGCTAGACATCATCATAAAATTTTACATCTTACGTACTGCTCATACTGCCGTATGAGGAAGCTCAAAGTCGCTCAGCGAGCTATGGATAGGGCTATGTTTAGGGTTTCTCTGCATGATAAACTTCGGAATGAGGATATCCGCAGTAGAATCAGAGTGACCGACATCGTCTATCGGATTAGTAAACTGAAGTGTCAAGTGTCAATGGGCCGGCCACATGGCTCGAAGAACCGATAACCGATGGAGAAAAAAGAGTGGCAGCCTCGTATCGGTAGGCAAAGTGCAGGGCGTCCCCCCACTAGATGGAGTGACGACCTGGTAAGACATGCAGTAAGTCGATGGAAGCAAGTGGCTCAGGAATATGCTTTGGGACATTCCTTGGGACAGGCGTATGTTCATCAGTGGACTTTTGAAGAGATGTAATGATGATGGTGATGATTCATAGATGAATTTAGTTTTTTGATTTTTTGAATTTAAATGCCGATACCCACGCCGGACAGCAGTGTGAAAGGAGCACGGGTAAATTCCAGCTGTAGAATTTTATGGGCAAATTAAGAAAGAAAGAAAATATATAGATAGAATACTAACACTTACGAGAGAACATTGCTTTTCTTTTTAGTCGACTTCAAAAAAGGAGAAGGTACTCAATTTGACCGTCTGTTTTTGATGCTACCTCAGAACTTTTTTCTGAATGAACCGATTTTGATTCTTCTTTTTTTATTTGAAAGACGATGCTGCTCATGTGGTCCCATATTAATTTGATCACGATCTGACCAGTGGTTATTTAAGTTAACCATAATAATGCGTGTTTAATTGACTTCGACGACTTTGATGATGTTTTCATTTTATTTCTATTGAAGTCGGTTGCGATTTTTTTAATTTTACCACTTGTATGGTTGTAGTAACTAAGAAATGCTATGAATATTTTGAATGAATCATTTTAGTATTTATCTAACTAGCTCAGGATGTAGAAATTTCTAAAATGCTAAACCTCATATTAATTTTTGTCATATGTTATATTTCGATACGCAATTAAACATGGTAAACAGGTCCGCGTACTATGAACATCGCTAACCTGAGTTTAAACATTTATTATTTCCTTGAAATTGAAATCGTAAGTAATGAATTTGTAAGCATTATGATACTGAAATATGTGTTTAAAAATGGATATTATATAAACTTTTTTGAGATTTTTTTTCATACAAAACGTTATTACCTTCGAACCACTTTCAACTACAAGATTTAAATTCTTCAATACTGGATCTTCATCAGGTCCGTACCGCAAGTTTACGTTTTGAAATATAATTCTTCCTTCTGAAGGCCACGTCGGTGGAATAGGTATTGCTGTAATAGAAACAATCATGCGTAAATATTATATCATAATGTTATAAATCATAAATGCGGTAGGTGGCGGCAGAGAATCCATAAAATCCATTTCATCTCTTGGTTGTCTTAGGAGGCCCTAAAGCTCAAAGAGCCATGCCGCAACTATATTATGGTTGTAGCACAAATGGGTCGGCTTGATCTGGTTAGAACCACGCTCTCACAGAATACCAACGTAAAATGGCAGCTTAACATTGCTCTGTTTCGTATGGTGAAAGTAGAGAACCGGAGACTGCCGGAAATAGGGCATTCAATCTCAGTGCTCAAGGCTGACAACACATCTGCATTTTGATTCCTGATTGAGGATATATGTACATGTCTATGGGCCAAAGCATCAACTTAGAATCAGGTGGACTGTGTGCTCGTTTATCACCCTTATTCTATTAAAAAAAGAAACAGCGTCAAAAATGCAAGTTGTTTGGTTACTGTGAAGGCCAATCCACGTGGCTAGCGTGGTGCTTTTAGTAAATTCTTCCTACAAGAGGAGAAGCCCATGTCTATCAGTAGATTTTTACACGATGGTGCACATCCTAACCGAAGCTGGAACTAAAATTTTAGTCACAACGCAATAATATCGTTTTCAAGCCTAGTCAGCTTTAACTGTTATACTGGGTGATTTTTTACCGTCTGGAAAAAAAGGTTGTAACAGTTGAACGGAATGGCACTGATATTTTTTATATATTTTTTTTTGCTTTTACGTTAACATATTATGAAATTGAATTATCAATAAATACCACTAATTTGTATTAAACTTTCGATAGTGAATAAAATATCCCGCTACTAGCTCATCCTCGACTCTTTGTATAATTAATTCGTGAAAACGAAATAATTATTTTTCTCAGCTATTAAGTTAGTCTCAGGACAATTTATAGTTGATTATCTATGATCGGTGTATTTTGTGATTGTAAATTAATTCTATTTAAAAGAAATGTCCCGCTGGGTTTCTTTCTGGTTCTTCCCAGGTCGGGGGTTTTCTTGGTACCATTGGTAGAAGTACTATACTGAATAAAAATGATTCTATTCTATCCGAATTTCCGCCTCGTTGGTCTAGTGGTTGTAATAGTGCGACTGCTCATCGTGAGGTCCTGGGTTCGAATCTCGGGTCGGGCCAAAAATCAATTATTGAGTTTTTCTGTAAAGAAATTCTCAGTAGCTGCCCGGAGTCAGGAAGTTGGCGGTGTCTCACCCCGTGCCTCGGAAAGCTCGTAAAGCAGTAGGTCCTGCGCCCGATCTCCCTCCGGTCGTGTCGGTTTACCGTCCCATCGGATTATGAGAGTGAGGGAATAGAGAGTGCACCTGTACTTGTGCATACACTTGGGCACTATAATCCAGTCCTGTGCCGATGACTAGCCTCCGTTGAGGCAGGCCGAAGTGACCGAAATTCGGTCTGGAGGACATTATTATTATTATTATTCTTTCCGAAAACCTTTTACGTAATAACTCTACATTACAAATTATTAGTAACTACCTTCCTAGATCAGAAGTGGAATATGAAGCTTTCCATAATAACCTTATGTTTTTATTACTTCTCAGTCTTCTTCTTCTCCGGCTCAGGTATATGTGTCTCTATATTCGGGTGTACACTTATAGCACTATTGTGGCTCCTGCACCGATGATATACAAACAAAAGTATATTTTACCTATATATTTGATAGTCATTATAATAGTTGCCAGATTTGATATTCGACACGAAAAATCTTATAAAATTAAGTAAAAGTTTGCAGAACACGGTTTTAGCATTTCTTTGGTTGCCTCTACATCTACACTCACAGGTACCGACTTCACTCGCCAATGTTTAAATAAAAAGAAGACCAAAGCTTACGTCCGTCAAAGAGGTTCTCTTCAGTTTCGACACGAGTGTACTCCAACACACGTTCAACGCTGGTGAGCTGTGCGACGTACTCCACCAGCATGCGAGCGCCGTGCTGCAACATGGCAGTGAGCGCGCTGCTTTGTGTCACAGCCAACCCTACACTGCCCACGGGGATCAAATCACCTGTAAAATATCAATAGGGGAAATGTGCAATAGGGACAACGCGAAAGTTTGCAGAAATATTATAAAATGCTGAGTTTAATAAAATAAAAGTAAAGTTATTGTTTCAATATACCCGTCTGCAGTGAGTCATCTAAATATTTTATTTTTTTGACATGTCTGTTTCATTACGATGTTTTCTTTTAACGTCGAGTAAATGGTAACTAGCACTTAAAATTGCAAAGCTAAATGCTTTGATGCTCAGATATTTTGTTGACCCCTAAGTCATCATGTTCCTTTAACTTTAATGTATTCATTTATCTATTATTCGTGTCGGGTGACACTTAAGCATGATGTTAAATAATGGAATAACATCCTTCAAAACAAGTCATTACTAGATTGTAACTATGACTTTTTATAGAATAAGGGTAACAAATGAGCACACAGTCCACCTGATGACAAGTGGATACTGTGTTCCATAAACATCTACTTTTTTCGTCGATTAAGAATCAATACGCAGATGCGTTGCTACCCCTGAAAACTAAAATGGAATGCCTCGTTTCCAGTTAAAAAAAGTCTCTAGATTTCTATACTCTCCATACGGAACACAGCAGTATTGAGCTGCTATTTTACGCCGGTATTCCGTGAGAGCGTGGTCCTTCCCCGGTCGAGCTGACCCATTCATGCTGCGACTACAATATAGCTGCAGCGTAGCTCTACCACGTAAAAGTATGTACTGATGTTGAGTAACAAAGACAATATTTAGAAAGTAAGAGTTACCAAAGTCAAGATACAAGAAGACAAAGATGACAGAAGAAAGATAAACTAGGCACATTGTATCCAAATAGAATCCGAAAGTGGATCCACCACCCAAATAGCCGTTCCACGCTGATGTGTGCAAATCCTAAAACCAAATTATAATACCATTAAAACCTTTGTTTTTCTTTTTTTATTCAAAAATATAAATTTAAATACACCAACTATGGCTTAATTTATAATACCTGATGTGTATCGAAATCATCAATGAGACGTTTTTGAGCATCGCAGCATCGGATAGTTGCAATACCACTCAATGATGACGTGACCATACCGAAAACGGGACTTTTTGCTGTGAATAACAATTTATTATTGATAAACAAAACTCTTTTCCCTTTTTAGCCTATTTTTATAGGTCCTGGACATAAAGACTATTATACAAAACATTGAATAGGTGGATTCGTAAGCGCCACGGTTATTAACGGCTTGCGCTGATATTTCAGCTTTTCCACTTCATAAACCCAGTAGGAAGATTTAAGTTTGACATTTTTGGACGAGTGTCCCTCTCCGACAATTGATCACCAGAGCCTCGTGTGCCAATCAGCAATCAATAATGCATCAGATTGGGTGGTATTTAAGGAGTTAGGGAGAATATGCCGCGATCCTCCGATGGAACTACCTTATGTATTTTTCCCTCCGTACCAAATTTATGCCTCAGTCTTTCACCGCTTTAACCCTTTGTTTTCAACATGCTACGTCTTTGCACCAAACGGTTTGCATCTTTGTTTATAATGTGTGCATAAATGTGTCAGAGTCTGGCAAATTATTCCACAGCAGTGGAGTGGAATAATTTGCCAGAGTCTGGCAAATTATTCCACTCCACTTTTCCACCCAACGACAATGTAAACTAAGCCAGTGCTCTTTACTATCTTCGGCTACATCGCCACTTACCGTCAATGGCAGTCAAACACTGGCTTGTAAAGTTTTGAAAAAAAAAAATTGCATAAGAATGAACAAACAAAACACGATGTTAAGGAAATTATTATATTTGCTTAAAATATGTTACGGAACAATACTAATAAATAACACTTACTAATACTCTCAAGCCGTTTAATCCCTTGAGCGGCTTTTATATACAACCTTATGAAAAACACGAATAAGGTTAACAATACGACTGATGGTATCAATGTCCAGTATAATGCTATAGCATTTAGCACAAGAATAGCTGCCATAGTTCCATAGATTTGAAAAACATCAAACAAAGTTCTTGGTAGTATTTCATCGACTGCACCAATATCTTTTGTAAAACGATTGAGGATCCGGCCTGAAAATTATTTTTTTATTAGAATAAGCTTTTAGAGTGCTCATATTTTAGCAAATGTTGGACGTCATTGTGACAGAAAAAAATTGTTAACTACTCTAACTCAATAATACAAGGAAATAAATTTAGAGCTAGAAGGAAAAATGTCGACACAGGGAGAAAGTGAATTGACGTTTCCCGTAATTTGCTTATTTATTACGATTGTAGACGCTACAAAATACTTTTTATTGTGTTTACAATAAAATACTTTTTATGTCACAAGTAAGCACAAAATATTATAGGTATTATTTAATATTTGGAAAATATTTTCACAAGATTTTTTGCGGTGATCATATTTAACCACATGTACAATAAACACGATGTTATATACTTCTTATTTTTGTGATAATTATAATCAGTATTGGTTTTAGCATTCCTGTGAGAACTATTTAAACCTGTTTTTATTTTAATTTGTGTATAAAAAATTAGTTTTGTAACACCTTTACTAAATAAATAAAGATTTTAAAGTGGCAATGTTTTAATTATATAATACGTATTCAGGAATACGTGTACAAAATTTCAATTCAAAATGTCAAGAAATAAAAAGTTATAGATTTTTGAGATCGTTTGGCGGAATCGTGTCTTCGTGCGATGGGCATCGTGCGATCTATTAAGAGGCTGTTGGACCATCGCACGATCTTTTCATCGTGCTATGAAATCACATCGTTTAATCGTACGATCGACAGCCATCTAGGACGACGCCTAAGGTACTTTACATTTCATCATCATCATCATCACAGCCCTTCACAAGTCCACTGCTGAACATAGGCGTCCCCCAAGTAATGCCACAAAGCACGGTCCTGAGCCACCTGCATCCATCGACTTCCTGCATATCTTACCAGGTCGTCACTCCATCTAGTGGGGGGTCGCCCTACACTACGCCTACCGGTACGAGGGCTGCCACTCGAGAACCTTTCTTCCCCATTGGTTTTCGGTTCTTCGAGCTATATGGCCGGCCCATTGCCACTTCAGCTTACTAATCCGTTGGGCTATGTCGGTCAATCTGGTTTTACTGCGGATATCCTCATTTCTGAGTCTATCACGCAGAGAAACTCCGAGCATAGCCCTCTCCATAGCTCGCTGAGCGACCTTGAGCGTCCTCATACGGCCAGCAGTGAAGGACCACGTCTCTGATCCGTAAGTCATCACTGGCAACACGCACTGGTTGTACACTTTAGTTTTCAGAGATTGAGGTATACCTGACGAGAAGATATGTCGTAATTTCCCGAACGCTGCCCAGCCGAGTTGAATCCGTCGATTGACCTCTCGGTCGAAGTTGGACTTACCTAGTCGGACTATTTGTCCCAGGTAAACGTACTCGTCAACAACTTCGAGCATAGTGCTCCCAACAACTACCAGCGTTAAGAGCTAGTGGCGGTTAAGAATATCCACTACCCCGTATCTTCCCGTGGGTGTCGTAAGAGGCGACAGAGGGAGACAGGCAGGAGATGGGCAGCAGCATCTTCCTGATAACAGCAACTGTACGACAAAAAAAAACTGCGGTTGCCAACCCGCTCGCCAAGCGTGGCAACTATGGCAATATACCCCCCATGAACAATTACACAAATAGACGGCCCCCAGTCCCCGGCGGCCCCGCTATTCCTGGCTACGGTGGCGACCATGGTAACGGCGGGGCAGGGGGTGCTAAGAATCTCCGGTGGAGGTTCGGTTGCCACCTACGACGACTCGACCTGGCAACATTTAACGCACGCACACTGAGGACTGACGAGAAGATCCTGGAGCTGGAAGAAGAGATAGACAAGTTGCGCTGGAGTATTATAGGATTATCCGAGGTCCGAAGAGAGGGGGAGGACACGGTGATTCTCGAATCCGGCAACTTGTTCTATCACCGGGAGGGCGACCATCTGTCCCAAGGAGGTGTCGGATTTATCGTCCACAAGTCTCTCGTCAACAACGTTGTACAGATTGAGAGTGTGTCGACGAGGGTCGCGTACCTGATACTCAGAATCACCAAACGGTATTCGCTGAAGGTCATACAGGTTTACGCACCAACGTCGGCACATTCCGATGAGGAGGTGGAGGAAATGTATGAGGATATTTCCAAAGCCATACATTCCTCCAAAACCCACTACACGGTGTTGATGGGAGACTTCAACGCAAAACTAGGCACAAGAGAAAGCGGTGAGCTGAAGTTAGGGAAATTTGGAGTAGGGCAACGGAACCGAAGGGGCCAGCAGCTGGCCGACTTTATGGAGAAAGAGGGACTCTTTATGATGAACTCTTTCTTCCAGAAGCGGCCCCACAGGAAGTGGACCTGGTCGAGCCCCGACGGTTCGACAAAAAATGAGATTGACTTCATTATGACGACCAGACGCCAACTGTTCAGTGATGTCTCAGTGATCGCAAGGGTGAAAACTGGCAGCGATCACCGAATGGTTAGAGGCACACTGAACCTAAACGTTAAGTTGGAGAGGTCTCGTCTAATGAAGTCAACGCTCCGTCCCCCCTCGTGCTCTGATCCAAAATCCCGAAAACTTTCAGCTCGAGTTACACAACCGCTTTCAGTGCCTACAAGATTGCAATGCAGTGGACGATATGAATGACAAGCTCGTGGAAACTGTCCATGCGGTCGGAGCTAAGTTCTGCAAGACCCGCCGCAGAAGAACACAAAAACTCTCCGATCACACTCTTAATCTCATGGCTGTTAGACGGGAGATGAGGCTGCAATCGTCAACAGATTTGACAGCATACAGGCAACTGAACAGACAGATCTCCAAATGCATGCGGCGAGACTTACGCAACTTTAATACTGCTCGTATTAAAGAAGCGATCGAGCGGAACCAGGGCTCCAAAGTCTTTGCCAGAGATCTGTCTGCCAGAAAGAGCCAACTGTCAAGGCTGAAGACTGAGTGTGGCAGCATCGTTTCCGGGACACCTGAGATTTTGAGTGAGATTGAGAGGTTCTATGGGCAGCTGTACACATCATCGTTGGAGCCACACGCAAGTGTGAGTAACGATCCAAGAGCAAGTCTTATCCGACACTATTCCGATGATATCCCGGACGTCAGTCTAAGCGAGATTAGAATGGCTCTCCAGCACCTTAAAAACGGCAGGGGCCCAGGCGAGGATGGAATTACAGCGGAGCTTCTGAAAGCGGGTGGAACACCGGTACTTGAAGTCCTTCAGAAGCTCTTCAATTCCGTCCTCCATGGTGGCACTACTCCAGAGGCGTGGAGCAGAAGTGCGGTGGTCTTGTTCTTTAAGAAAGGCGACAACGCTCTCTTGAAGAACTACAGACCGATTTCCCTTCTGAGCCGCGTCTACGTGCTGTTTTCGAGAGTCATTACGAATCGTCTCGCACGCAGACTCGACGACTTCCAGCCTCCCGAACAAGCCGGTTTCCGAAAAGGCTTCAGTACCATAGACCACATACATACCCTGCGGCAGATTGTACAGAAGACTGAAGAGTACAATTTGCCACTTTGCCTGGCGTATGTGGACTATGAGAAAGCCTTTGATTCCGTCGAAATTTGGGCGGTGCTGCAGTCCCTTCAGCGGTGCCAAGTTGACTGTCGGTATATTGAAGTGCTGAAGTGTTTGTACAGTAGGGCTACGATGGCTATCCGAGTACAGAACCAGAGCTCGAAACCTATCCAACTGCAGAGAGGTGTAAGACAGGGTGACGTTATATCCCCGAAACTCTTCACCGCTGCTTTGGAAGACGTTTTCAAGCTACTGGACTGGAAAGGATACGGTATTAACATCAATGGCGAGTACATCACTCACCTTCGATTTGCCGACGATATAGTCCTTATGGCAGAATCGCTGGAGGACTTAAGCACTATGCTCAATGACCTCAATAGTGCCTCCCAACGGATAGGTCTTAAGATGAACATGGACAAAACAAAGATTATGTTTAATGTCCATGTCACACTTTACATTTACATCGTATAAAATATTTTAAACTAATATTTTTTTTATTATCGACTATATATGTTATATAACTATCCAAATTGGCATTTACCCGAAGAACTAGTATCGAAGAATCGCATAATGCCCTTAATCATTGTTGAGAACATTAGGTCATGTAGTTTCTTAGAAGCGTTATAACATAGCTGTGCAAAAGGTATAGCTCGACAGTTTGTAATTATGATGGCTGCTACAATTAGACAACCGTGGATGATCAAATACTGTCCAGTCGTAAAGGGACCCACTTGTACGTCCAAACCCGGCTCTGAAAAATAATGAAGTAATAATTATAATAATATTATTTTTTAAGTATTTAATTAGAATATAATAAAATATAATTTTACTGAAAATATTTTTAATACTAGCAATACTATTAATATTATTAATAATCACTTAAACCACTACTGATTAGTTGAAAATTATTGAGTTAGGAGTTCTTCAATACAGTAGTCAAATGGCGGATCCGAACCGAAACCGAATAGTTATACCGGCAACTATCGCAGGTCACACGATCTATAGGTTATTTCTCCGAGTCGCTTACGATACCCATGGAATAATGAACTCTCTTATTTCGCCACCTAATCAACTCATAATCATCAGCATCATCATAACAGCCCAACATAACTCCAAAATTCTGAACAGTAGCTTTCTCCAAAATTGCCGCAAGCCACAACACCGATCCACCTGCACCGATCGACTCTTCGAATTTTTTATCATGTCCTCCTTTTACTTTTATTTTTAGTGGAGGTAAGTTTGTGAGTTAATTTGTCAGTGAGTTTCTCAAAAAAATTGTATCCACAACTTATAGCCATTCAGCGAGGAAACGCAGCCAATTCTTGGTACTGAACCACTGGGTCTATGACTGGTTGCGCGGAAAAAACGGGTACTCTCAAATTTTGTTTAGTTGGTTATTGTTTAGCCAGTTCCCTCTCCATCCCATCCGTGCATTTCATTCCACGCGCACCGAAAGGGGGGGGGGTGTTAGAATGATGTGTCATCTTTTTGGCCAATGAAGAAACGCGCCTCGCCTAAATGAAAGGTGTAGATGGTTGGCGAATAAAAAGGACCACCTCTGCCGCTGCTCGCTATCTTGCATCCATTGCATAAATAATTTACGCGCGTGGCCTTTTGTGACTAATAACGTCGATCTTGCCATTTCATGACTGTTCTGACTCGTGGTTACAGTTCTGACTTGCTAACACGCGCTCTTTAGCTTGATATAAATACTCTAAGCCTTTACCACACTAAATAGTACGCGCAATGCTTCTCTGTCACGCATCTTTGCTTGTTCCATTTTTTTTATTTAAAAGCCTATCCTAAGCAACCTTGTACCACTATATTCTACTGTATGATATATGTGTCAAGTAGTTAACAGATAAGTGCAATTACTAATATCAACTTACCTATTTATTATTATACTCAGCGACTATGTATTAGGGACCAGAAAAAGGTAGGCAACCCAACTATTGTATATTATGTATGTTGCATGCTTTCCGTTGGTACTTAGTTCATTTAGCAATCAATTCGGTGAAATTTGAGGAAAAAAAGTTATAAAAATTTGACTTAATTATAGCCGTAAACATATTTTTAGGCAGTCCTATTGATATATGTTTAGAAACATAGATAAAAAGAATTCATCTGGTTAACAGATGGGTGAAGGTCGATCTTACTTCGGATCTTAGACTATTTAATACGTTGTCTTTATTTATTACTAACCGCATGCGTTGCAATGCCTTTTTTGTCAAAATCGTTTGCGCATAATAATTCACAAAAGTGGCATTGTGATCAGATAAATGGTTTAGGAACGTACGCGAAACCAACAAAGAATTCAATTTATATAGAGTATATACCTATATACGTCTTCGGTAGATTGTATGATTCGTCACTATACAAACAGCGTAGTCAGTTTGCTCGCTGGTTTGTAAAATGTCGAATGGACGTTTGTATAACATTATTATACAAATGTTCGCGGCTTTGAGGTGGCTCAAGTTCCACGCTAGCAGTTGCATTACAATTACTTGATAGTGAGATGTGATCTAGTGTTTTTGACAAACTTATAGAAATCATAGTTTATAAAATAACGGGAAAATTCTACCACGGTTTGAAAGTAAATTGAAAATGGCGTAATTGTAAGAATCGTTAGGTATTGGCGCAAAGAGTAGAGAATCATTGCGTTTTAATTTGCATTTCCCATAAAGCAACACGGGGCGATGACGTTCCTGTGTTGCTCTATGGCATTTTCATTTAATTTTTTGAGAAATTTGCTTTTGACATTTC